TGTGTGTATACAGTGTGTGTGAGTGCCCAAAAAAGAAAATAAACCTGATTTCATGTTGTCATTTTAAGCTACAAGGGTGTTCGTGTGCATGTCTGTGTGTCTGTGTGTGCGTGTGTGTGTGTGTGTTTGTGGTTACAGTGTGTGTGTTACACTGTGTGTGTGTGTGTGTGTGTGTGTGTGTGTGCTCAGTGAACTGCATGTCTCTCAGCAGACTGTCTCCCTACAGCTGTCCCCAAACCCAGCTGGACTTCACAATATGACCTTTATTGTTGACCTACACATGTAGCACTTACTGTCCTCATCACATGTTCCTCCAGACCTCTTAGAGTCAAGAAACACTTTTTTTCACTTCAATATGTCTTCATTTTTGGCTTGGCTGATTATTGCCAAGTGCTCCAAAGGCATGTTGAGAGTCAAAGCATTTCTACAGAACTTCATTTTAAATTCTTGTTTAAATCATTAGAAACAAAATAATCCATTCTGGTCTTGTCAGGTTTTAAAAAAAAAGAGTGACTCTACATTGTATTGCTTCAAAGAATCCTCAGATAAAGTAAAGAAAGAATATACTAGTGTGTACACTGTGGAGGAAAAGTTTTATCAAACTTGAACTCTGACTGTTCCTACATACAGTTTCCCCTCAGGAGCTTCAAAGTAAAAAACACAACCGCAGTATATGATAATGTCATATATACAGTATATTATACATCTGCTTGCTCCAACAGTTCATTGTATACCATGCTTATAACCAATCCAAATATAACAGTCTTTATGCTTCACTTCCGCATGAAATTGAGATGTGTTGAGCATCATTTTACACACATTTTGCTGCGATTGCCCCTCGCATGAGGTACATTTTGTGGCCTTTAATACAGTTGGCTACAGTAAGCTAAGGGGGTTTGAACAATGCTAGGCCACACAATCTGTTAAACAACAATAGGCCCCTGGTGAGTCTTTCGGGGGTTGAAAAGGTTATAGAAACATTTGTTGGAATAATTGAGAACATTGAAGGTTAAAAGGTTAAATAACATCTTAAAAGAATGTTTTAACAGACTGACCTTGTGATTGTATGTTTTACTGCATGTTTATTTTATTCTTGAAATATTTGCATTTACATTTTCTCTTCCACGACTGCGTGTTTATTTATCTCCTCTATAGACCAGAATAAATCCATTATTAACCAGACAACCCATAACAAACACATTAAACTGAACCTTTCCCTTATCGGCAACAAGTGCCAGCAACAAGTGATGCAGGTCTTTTTTTTAATATTACTTTTACAGTCTCTGCTGTCTGAGTATGGTGCTCTAAAATCAATTTGGCGCCAACAATTCAAAGCCCCTGGCGGCACTTAAAGTGAAGTGCAGTGTGTCTTGAACCTAGGCCGAGCTGTGACTTATGAATAACACATCAAGGGAGAGCAGCAGTAGGTGTGCTTAAAGAATTAATCAGCTGACAGTTATGTTTCCCATAAAATTGTTCTGTAGGCGCGTGTAAATCTTCCATGAATTATTCATACAACACGACGCAATCCTCAGCACGTTATACTGAAAGCTTCTGTCTTCTCAGACATATCTGTCACTACCTGTCAACCAGGATTTATAGTGGAGCTGAATGTCTTTGGTCTGCTATTTTTTGTTGTTGTTGTCCTGGAATAATGAGCACCTTTCAAAGCTTTTGATATACCGTCACCCACAACCGGAAAATAAAATAGTGCTTCCCACCTACTGAGTTTGTGTATATATATTTTTTTTTCACTGTTTTTGACACTAATTGAGCTCTTAAGGGTTGACAGCATAAACTAAGACTTTGACATGTACAAATGTTTGCTTTATAGTTGTTATACTTGTAAAAGTCAGTACTAATCTAACCTGTATGTTTTAGAAATATATTCCATACAGTGGACTGAATAATGGGAGACTAAGTCTTAAAAAAAGAAGCTTATTCACGCCTACATCAGTCTGTTCGAGAACATAATGGGGGAGTGAATTCTGGTGCATGCAGTTCACAGCTTCAAGATTAAATATTATCCTTGCTAATG